ACTTTATATTTCATATCAGGAAACAATAACCTCTTAATCGGAAAAAGCTAAATGCTTGAAAGAAGTGAAAAGAGAGAATACTGAAAGAATACAGATGAGATGGGAGGAATAAATTAATAGACGAGAAACCATATTAGTACAAAAATACATTTTGTATGAGATAAATAGTGTCATAAAAACTTGTTATCACTAGGTACAAAAATAAATGATGTTATTGGAATTGCTTTTTCGCGGTATGTAATAATTTACTTCTAAAGCGTTTGGTTTCCTTCATTGTACTAAAAATAAAAAATTATTCATCACTTAAGAATTATTTTTATATAAGAGTTTTCCATCCCGAAAAGGATCCATCTAACTCCAATTCAAATTGGTCAAGATAGTGGTTTGAATCTAAAATATATCCAAGAAAAAGATTATTTGAATAAGCTCCATTTCGGAATTTTGAAAAAGAAATATTGTACACTTCTTAACTATTTTCTGTAACAATTACAGTACGCATCAATTAATGTTCATAATTTTATTCCCGTAATGTAATCAGACATCCTCTCAATTCCTCTAATCAAACACCCCTCTAATCAAACACCCCTTTAGTCAATAATAATAATAATAATAATAATAATAATAATAATCAAACACCCATAGTCTTTAACTATTGGACCGTGCTTGTGAGAAAATATAAAATAAAACAGAGTACAATATGGAAATCTGTTTCGAACGTAGTACTGCCCTTTGAGTTTTTGTCTGAAAATATAGAGGTAACTTTATTTGTAACAAATCCATCCTATGGTTTTGTGGATTGTACAAGAAATCTTTAGTGTTCGATAATGAAGAAATATCAAGGAGACTGGTGATCATTCCCAAAACTAAGGTTATGACTTTAATGTTCACGTAGTACTCCCTCTATTTCAAAATGTAAGTCACTTTAGACTTACATGACTAAGGAGACAACCATCTAACAATTAATTTATGTATGAAATATTTGTTTTATCCCTCATTAATTACATTCAAACTATAAACAAGACTAAATAAAAATACATTGACATCATTTATTAAGGGTAAGATTGAAAAAATAGTCATTAATTTCCTTAGAATTTGTAAAACGACTTACATTTTGAAAAATCTCAAACTGAAATGGAGGGAGTATATGTTATGACTATCGAATTCTAAACTAATAATATTTGCACTTGTTCCTTTTCCCTTTGTACAAAGAAAATTTTTCCATCTTTTTATTAGAAAAACAGTGGTGATGAAAACATAGATATTCTAAATAAATGCTTGTTGTAGGTGCATTAGTGAATAGAATTTGTTGGGAAAGATTGTCCCTACATTAAAAGTAGTACTCCAAAAACGTAAATTGCTTTATTTTTTCGCGTGAGTCAAATTGTGTAGAGTACTAGTAGTTTGTAAGAAAATAGAAACATGATTAATGCATTGTATTCTTTCAAAATAATTGTTTAATTTATTATATTTTAAAAAATATATCTGAAAAGACGATCATTTTGCAAATGTCCGAGTATTAGATTGAGGTATATATATGCTACAGGAAACTTATCGATGCACAAGAATGCATGAATCAGTTTTCATTTGTGTACAATTTAATAGGATATAAACTGATAAAAATCGGCATATTTATATGAAGAAACCTGTAAACATGTCAATAGAGGCAACGTTTCACACCCCCACCAAAAAAAAAAAAAAAAAAAAATCCTTTTCTCTTGATCTCAGAATGAACTCTTTTGCAACCCAATTCACCCCTCTAAAATCGCCACTTGTTTCACAATTTGCAACTAAAAGTAATGATGTTTATGATGAAAAATTATACTGGATTTTTATAATCATTATTGTGGTACTTAGATGGAGCAGTCACTTGATATCAGTTAAACACATAATAATTTTATTGTATTGTAAAAAACAAAACATATAATAATTTTAAGACATGTGACCACCACATGCTTCATTGTGAGAATTCATTATGAGTTTTTATTGTGAATATCATTTCTCTAATTTCTGCGAGTCAAAAGTTAGAAATTTTGGTATTAAGAATAACATTTGTATTGTCACAAGAAGATTCAAATTTTTATGTGTTCTGAATTTCACCTTTACCAATGTTTTTTTCTTGTTGAAAAAGTACCTATTTATATTAATAAGAACCTAATCTATTACAACACATCTTACTATATGCTATATTATGGACTTCTTCTATATCATTCCTGCAAACTTTAGTCAATTTACAAGAAGTAAAATTCGCACTCAAGTTGTGTACTAGTGAGACAATCTCTTGGGCCTTTACCGGAAATAGTGAGTGGTGAAGATCAAGAGTAAGCATTTCACAATCCGTGAGGATTTTAACGCGGTCTAGCCCAAACTTGAAAGCCTCTTTAAGCGCTAAAAGACATGTCAATGCTTCCGTTTGAAATGGAGATAGAGCACGTACTATGACAGCTTTCATTTGCACTATCACATTAGTCGAGGAAACAATCTTCCACGCTCCGACTGCCTTCCGTGTGATAGGATCAAATGAGCTATCGATCAGTATGGTGGCATGATCATCCTCTTCCTCTACTCAATGTGTGATTGCAGACTGGATACTTCTTCGCTGACCATGGATGCGCTTTTAATGAATGGAGTAGTCATTTTGAATTTGGCGCCAAAGTATACTGGGATCCTTCATCCGGTTTCTCCATACTTTGTCGTTTCTATCAATCCAGATCTACCATACAATCAATAGGAAGAGTTCCAATTCCAAAGGTGAGGGAGTGGATTGAATCCACTGTGTAAACCAATCCAGAATGGATGACTGGCCATGATTAAAGGCTTGAGAGAAAGTAGGGTAGGCTAAGCCCAAAGTGCTTGAGATAGCGGGCAACCAATGAGTAGATGTAGGCCATCTTCATGAGGAGAAAAGCATCTAGGATATCCAGAGCTGCTAACTACTCCTCTCCGGAGGAGTGCAGATATGGTAGGCAAAGTATCAGTTAAAACTCTCCAGACTAGCAACTTCTGTTTAGGTTGGACCCGGTAATTCCATAATCTTTTCCAAACTTGAGTACTAGTATTAGGTTGAGGAGGATTGTAGGGTACCAGAGGAGAACTATACAAGTTGATCGCCTCATGATAGCCAGTTTTAACTATATAGTAACCGTGGTTCTCCTTAATCCAGATAAGTTTATCTCCTTGCTAATTTTTGAAAGGATCAATAAAGATCCCAATGATATGTGGGATTAAATGCGCTAGGAAAAATTGGCGAATGGTAGGCAACTTCCATTGCCATTATCCTTAATGAGATCCCTGACTCTTAGGTTAGAAAGAGTAACTAGTAAGGAACCCTGTTGAATTGAATTAGGATAGTCTAGAATCTAGTTATCTGCTAGATGACTGCTTCGTCCCGACATCACCTTCCATTTAACATGATGTTTTTGAATTTCTGCACCCTACAAAACTCCCCTGAAACCCCAAGAGAGATTTCTTGGGGGGTTTGTAGGAGGAAATATATCATTTGGACAGTATTTTACTCCGTACATCTGGGATTAGGGATTCTGGGTGTGACATTATCTTCCAGACATGCTTTGCTAGTAGAGCTTGGTTGAACTCCTTCATGGATTAAAGGCCAAGCCCTCCATGAAATTGAGACTTGCTCATCTTCTTCCAGGATTTCTAATGAATGCCGGTACTTGAGTGGTCCCCTTTCCGTATGAATCGTGCTGTTATTGCTTCCGCCTTGTTGATGGTTGCAGCTGGAAGTTGAAAAACACCTATAGGATATGTGAGCATGGAAGCCATGGATGATTCTGCCAATGTGATCCTTCCACTAAGGGTGAGGAATTTGGTTTTCCAATCTGCAAATTTTTCAGAGAGTCTGGAAGTGAAGGTTTGAATAATAACCTTCTTTTGCTCATTAAAATCCAATGACATACCCAAGTACTTGTTTTGGAACTGGCCTTCCGGGATCTTCAAGGTAGTATGGATGAATTCTTTCATGTCTGGCCTTCTGTTGGGACTCAAGAAGATGGAGAATTTGTCAAAATTTATTTTTTGTCCCGAGAAAGCTGTATATTCCTCAATTAGACCAACAAGAGCTTGAACAGATATCTCATTGCATTCTAAGAAAAACAGACTATCATCTGTGTACATAAAGTGACTAACCCTTGAAGTCTTCTTACGAACCTGGATCCTGGTCCTCCTTTACTAATGTAATAGTCACGAAATAAACATGTTATATTTGTTTTCATTACTATAAAAATGTCTTGTTCAAGCTAAATTCGGATCATGTCACAAATTAAAACTCCTACTGAGTTGCATGTTAAAAAAAAAAACACCAAAAACAAAGATTTTTCTTGACTTTTTTTTCCCCTCTAAAGAGAAGAATAATTAAGATTTTGCTCGGTGTGTCACAAACTTATACACTTACTTATACTTCACTTTTGACTTCTTACAACGTTGTTCCTAGTCAAAAAAGCTAAAATGCAGATTTTTGTTTCCCTCTTTGCAGTGACATTAATGAAAAACCGCAATTTGACTTTGATGTAATTGAGTTTCATATCCCTGAATTATTTGTGATTTGACATAATTAAACGAAAGCCTCCTTCTTTTTCATCCACCAAAAAGAAAAAGGAAAATTGATCAATATCACAAAATTTGACTCACTCCAAACATTAAAAAGTAATCGAAAATTTTTTAAATTCACCAAGAAAAAAAGAAGTCACTTAAAATGATTTTTTCTTCGCCGTTGATGGAAGGAAACTGTCATCAAGCTTTTTTTTTGGTTGCCCGTATTGTATATATTTCTTTCTTTTCTCTTTAGCTTTACCCTGTTCATGGACTTCTTCTCTCCTCTTCTATTCTTTCTTCCACCCTTTTTCCTATTCAAAGCTCTTCGTTCAATTCCTCTATAAATTTTTTATTATCATTAATCATGGATGAAGTATATGTACAGAATTCCCATTTGATTCTCCAAAGTTGAATTTGTCAAAGTTTTTTTTTTTTTTTTTGTTTTGTTCTTTGACTTATTTTATCAAACATTTACCAGTCCTGTCTGCTTATTGTTCTTCTTCAGTTGCCATTCTGGGCTGGATAAGGTGAAATCCTGATATATTCACCGGCGAAATAATTCCATTTCATCATCCGGGTCAATCACAGAAATTGGTTTGAAGTGAAAAATTATGGCAATTGATATGAGTACAGAGATTTCAAGCTTGACTACCAGTCCAAGGATATCATTTTCTCATGATCTTTGCCACACAGATGATGACGAGGCTTCAAGAATGGAAGAAGATAATCAGCTCCGAAGAGATTCATCACTGCTGGAAATGGATTCTGGGGATTTTGATTTCAGTATCAGCAATATTTTCGAGGCAGAAACTACTTCAGCAGAGGAGCTTTTCTCAGGTGGCCTAATTCGCTCTGTTCAAATTCAAGACAAGTTTGTTCATGCTTCAAAGCAAATTCCAATGTCAAAAACTCAAGTTCCTCAGCCTCAATTGCCTTCTCTTCCGCCACTTCCCTTGGTTCATCCCTCAAATGCAGGATCAAAGCAAGAGATTCTCAAAGAACCCATCTTTGGAAACACTGAATCCGAACAGAAGAATCAGTCAAAATCCTTTTGGGGTATTAAGCGAAGTTGCAGTCTTCACTGCGAGAACAGTCACAAAAAGAGCTCATTTTGGTCATTGCCACTTTTGTCTAGGAGCAATTCAACTGGTTCTGTACCGACTCCAAAACAAGGTACAAGGGAAAACCAGAAGCAGAATGGTTTTGGCTCAAAACAGCAGAAAAATCTTTCAGGGATTTCCTCTGTATCTGCAACAGGTGCTTCTTTATATGTATATCCACTGTCACAGCAAAAGCCTCCATTGAGGAAGAATTATTCAGGGGCTAATGCAAATGGAATGAGGATTAGTCCAGTACTTAACATGCCAGTTCCATCATCCACTATTTCAAAAGGTTTCGGATCATTGTTTCGCAATGGTGGCAGCAGAGATAAGAAGGTCAAGAAATGATCTTTACTAATCACTGGTTGATTCAAAGGCTTTTTTATGGGTCATAGAATGTACCTTTTGATCATGATGTTATTAGCAAGATTAACCATTCTGGGAAGAAACAAAAGAATTGTACAAAAAGGTAATGGATGAGAATTGAGAAAAAGAGGGGGATAAGGAGGAGGAAATCATGGAGGTTTTGGGAGAATGTTCATGTTAGTGCCATTGTCACATGTCACAAGCTCAGGAGACACACAAACAGGAGGGACCTTAAATCAAGGGTTGCCACTATTGCCTATCCCTTTCTTTCTTTTCATCTTCTCCATGATTTTTTGCTCTTTCTTTTTCCAGTTGTAGATTTTGATTTTCAAGCATCTAACTTTTCAGGGCGTTGTTAGTACTCTTTGATTAGATGTTTGATAATCATATATTATAGAAATTAGTTATTTAGTTGGTCTTTCAACCCTTTTGCTTTTTGTTTGTTTTTGTGGGGGATGTGATTTATGGCTTTATGACTAATGGATTTGGATTTTGGAGGACCAAATGAACAGAGAGGATTTTTCTTTTTGAATTCTGAAACTTGCTTTTATTGTTGTTATATACCTGCCTTGCGGGCCATAGTCCCCTCCCCCGCATAATATAAGATTTCTACATGCTGAAATTTTAATGACTCTTGGACCAATTCTTCCAACACGCTTCCAGTTGCGGGTGAAAAAAACGTTGGACCAATTTTGATTATAAGATCCTAGAGTGAATTCATATGATACAAATTGATGCACGAATAAAATCATGTACAACGAATTTACTCTATCAGATCCATTGTTTGACGAATGTAATTAGTCATATTCATAGAATGCAATATTTCCACACAAATTCATGTATTCCCTCCGTCCCATAATTATTGTCCAGTTTGTTTTTTCATTTCTAACTCAAATTGCACTAAAAGTAAAATTTCAAACTAGATAATAATTTTAAGACAGAGGGAGTATTAGCAAATGGAATCCATTCTAATCAGGTGATAATTAGTCTGACTATGATACGTTACAAATTCATTGTATGTATTAAATCCTTACTATTGTAGTAGTTTCAGTTGAGAGACTTTCTGATATGACTCTTCCAAAATGTGTCAAAAATCAGGATCCAAAAGGAAAACAGAAAAAAATGAAAAAGAAAAGAAAAGAAACAGCACTGATGAAATAACAAGTCAATTGACACAGAAATGAAAACTCGTGCCATTTGGTCCCAAAAAAAGAAAGGGGATCATGGTAATGGACTTATGGTACCATCAACATTAATTTTTCCAACCTGTAAATGATGCTATCTAATGTTGTAACCGGCATTCAATTGCCGGTTAGAAATTGGAATTATGCAAATTCCACTTGTTTCCCTAACCTATCAATTCGAGGACTTTAATTTTACAATATTTTCGTGCCACTTTTCCCATCCTTTGGTAAGCCGTAAGCCTATTTCCAATGTTTTGTCTGTTCAATTTCACCCTTCGAAGATGCAAAATCTATAGCTTCAGATTTGCTTTGAGGAAGGCACTCTACACTTATAGTTTTGGCACTTTAATTCTGCCTCATCCCAAAACAATAATTCATTTCAAAAAGAATTTCATGTGAATTGAACTATTCTGGGTCAGCAAGAATAACCTCATTCTCCGATCCACTTTGATTTTGTGTCATTTAGTTCTTATTATTCGCCCGAATACATTCATAATGCATAAAACACATTTCACTAATTCTTTAGTCAATGAACAAAATAACCTCAATTTTCCTATCCATTTTGTGTTGGCGTCAAATGTACATCATTATGTATCAAACGCATTTAGCTAGTATTTCATTACTAAATGGAAAAGTATTTCAGAATGCGATGCTGCTAAAGTACTTCGTCATCAAGAGAACGATGCCATTTTATTAAGAAGACACTTAGTACCCAATAATAATATGTGACACAATCTTGTTCAATCTCATTAAGTCTATACGTTTTCTTGTTCAAGCCTAGCAAGTAAACCCTCTTATTTTAGTTTGTTTTTTAAATTTAGGCCAACTACCACTGATTTGAACAAGAAAACTAATCTACATAATGCAAACGTATATTTTATCAGTCAACACTCAAAAAGCTCCAAACCACCCATTAGTCTCTTGCATTGCGCAAATCCGCGGCCATTTGCACACAATTTTGGTATTTTAGCCAAAGGTTTTCTACGTTTTTTCAGCTTTTAAAGACTTTTTTCCATCTACTCCATTGGCACACAACTACTTCTTCTTCTATTTTGTTTTTTAATCTATTTATATGATTATCATTTTTGATAATAATGACTAATTTTCTCGTTGAATTGTAAATATACTAATAAACATATGGTAAAGGGATTTAAGGTTATTTGCTTCTTTAATGATGTATATCAATCTTTGGTTATCGCAGCATCAATCTTTCTCGTACATTTTGTCCATTTGCTGATCATTCAGAAGATTCCCACTTCTACCACACAAATTCGATCCAAGTTTCGGGATGGAATCCATGCGAATCAAAGTACAATAACAGTGTATGTAGTACCCTTTACCTAACTTGAAAAATATACAAAAGAAGAGGAGGAAGAAGAAGAATCTAAATACTGGATGTGACAAGGGTAATACTAACATCATCCCGCGGGGGAAAAAAAAAGCCCACATCAGCATGGTGAATTGTCAAATCTTTGCCTTAGAAAATTTTGTAACAAATTTTTTTTTTAAAGAAAGTATATGGTAAACGTTGTAGATCATCAAAATTTGGTCACATCTGGAAAATAGTTAGCATAGCCCGTAGTTCAACTCTCTCTTTCTTGGTACAATGAAGATATCAACGCGTATTAATTACTCTCTCTGACTCAAAATTATTATTCAATTTGGATTTTTACTTTAATAGAATTTAAACTAAAATGAAAATTCAAACTAGACAATAATTTTTGTGACGAGGGAGTAGAATCTAACTAGTTCATAACGGGGGTTTTGATTTGGGAAAAAAATGGAGAGAAAAATATGTCAATCTTCTCAATAGTGTAAGGAAAAAGAAATTACACGCATGCAGTGAACAATCAATCACACTGTTCTTGAAGGGATTTTGCAACTAATAAAGTAACAAAGCTAGTGACATTCATTCTCGATCGATTGAAGTAAAAATTGTTTCATAATCCTTAATAAGAAAGGGATATGCATTTTGCTTTTTGAGACCGACTTGAGTTTGCTTCATTTCTTGGTTTGTCTGAAAGACAAAGAGTAGAAAGCAATCCGACCCTTTTTTTTTATCTAGGCTTTTGATTGATGATATGGGCATTTATCATAGCTCATTTCGATGCTCTCTTCTTTGTGTTCTATTATGAATTTTGTCCCTCCTTTTTCAGGTTTGGCAAAGTAGAATAATGTCACGAGAGTTTTCGCCCACCGTATTTATCATATTTCTGTTCTTCTCGTCTTGTATTTTCTAACATTTTTTGTCTAGAAGTTTGATTTTTTTTTTTTTAGTCCAATTTATGTTTCGTTCTTTTACTCGTGTGTGATTTTGTTTTTTTTTTTTTTTGGTTTCTTTAGTAGTAACTCTTGCAAAGTACATATAATAGATCAACATTTTATGCAACATATGATCTCTTTTGAGACAAAACTAACTTTATGTTTTGGAAAGGGTTTAGGCCTTTGGAATTGGTTGATTTTTTCCCGTTAGGTGGAGATATTGATGGATTAGCTAATCCTTTCATATGATTCGTGCAATGTTTTTATATATAATGATTTCCTAGAATTTTTTTAATGAGTTTTTCGTTTATTTTAAGGACAAACATAAGTAAATGAAGGACATTTCTTTTGTTTAAAAGTATATATATACTACGTACCTCCGACGCATTTGCTTAATTCTATTGGCAGTACTGGACCTTAAAAAACTATATATGCTATTATAGAGTTGTAAAGATATATTACCTTCGATATATCGCAGTGATGAACTATAGACTTAATTAATGCCTTGATGGTTCACTTAGTTTTACTTGTTTAAATGTTACTATCACAATAACAAATGAAATAGTGAAATGAGTTGCGATGATGGTCACAGATGACGTGAGACTCAAGTTGTTGGAATCTACGATGGCCTTTGTGAGGGATTGCTTCGATCCATAGTGGAACATGGAGAGTAAATATTTCCTTGGTCTTCCAAGAATTATATATATATATATTCATGAATTTTAGTTCTTAATATAAGTTGTCTCTTTAAAAGGTGAAAATTTAAATATGACGATTATTTTAAAACAAAAAGAATATAAGTTTTAAGGTAAATTTTATTTTTGAGTTTTACTTTCTCTTGTAACGTTTGCATCTTCACTGCTAAAAAGAATAAAATGAAATAAAATTTCAACTTACCAAAAATTTGTCAAATTGTGAAAATGCCGGTGGTTTATTTTCTTTAAATTTTTTTTCCCTCAATTTTTTCTCACTACACTAATAAAAGGAAAATAAAAACTTACATATTATTTTAGTGAGAGACTCCAATAACGTGTGATCAATGGACAATTTGGGATCATCAGCAGGTCATACAAGTGTTGAAGATCAACTTGTTTGTTTTCCAGCATAAGAAGCCAATAATCAGGCTAAACTTCGATTCACAATAATTTTACTTAATTTCGACCGTCCAGTCCCTCAATAGCATTTCTTTTGTAACCCGAATAAGGCCTATCCATGCAATTACACCCAATATATCATCACTAGGGTTTCTTACCATCAAAACCACTGTCCGGCTCAAAATTTTCCTTCATCTGTTGCTTCTCGGGTTTGGTTACAAAATCAAAAGACATCAATCAAGTCTATTAACTACAATAAAATAATTTTGATTATGACCAACTGGAAATATGCATTTTATTTTTTCTTTTATTTTTTTTTATCTAGACGTGTTAAAGTTATAAGGTATAAATCAATTTAAATATCTATTTTTATAACTTTTTAAAAACTTATCTTATTTGATATTGATATTTAAAAAGAGATTAAAAAAAAAGCCTTATTCTTTTGTGAAGACTTTCACTGTATTTGTTTCACATGTAGAGATAAATCTTCTGTCACACAGTTTCATTAGAATATTCCCAAAGTTGGAAAGAATACTATTTTATGTTTTAAATTTTAGTTTTAATTTTGGAAAAAGGCTTTGGCTACTTTAGGATTCTTTTGTTGAGTAATAGTTTTTTTGGAGGCTTGCCAGATTCAGAAGGAAGGATGTTCATTCATTCCTCATGGTTACGACAGGCGGGGCGTAAAAATTTCAAGCAAAAGAGATGTATCGATGGTGCTAATATATATTATGACCAAACACTATAATATAGCCACCTATATTGTACACTACATTATGACCTATGACATTAGCCACCTATACTGTGATCTTTATAACTTACATATGGTCACGCAATACAAGATTCACGAAATTCTTTTTGCATCCACGAGCAAGAGTTGTTTGTTTCTCTCCAGAAGTGACAATTTCATCTATGATATCTGAGGTAGAAGCAAATAAGTTGTTATCAAAATAAATCATGTATACTAACAATGGAACAAAATGTGTCATTCTGATTAT